AGAGCCCGGCTCCCGCTGCCGCCCCTGCGGCACTGAGACCCCCGGGCAGGTCCGCCGAGCCCTCCGCTTCCCCTCCGCACCTTGCCTGCGTGCGCCAGACCTCCCGACGGCTCATGGCAGTCAGAGGCAACCTCCCGTGAAAGGGCCGCCCCGTGTCTACCCCTCGGACCGAGATCCCTAGGGAGGTGGATCTAAGTGCGACAGGCTCGGGTCGGTTCCATTCTCTAAAAAAATGTCCCCCTGCTCTACGTGAAGGTAGTCTAATTTAGATCGGGTCTGGCAGGACCGATCCAACTCAACTTCTGTACAGTTCCCAGCACAGCCCCCTGGGCTGGGAAAGCCCCAGCCCTGCAGCTGCCTTCCTTACTTGGCTGGGCTGGCATGGGGCTGTTTTTAACCCCACCCCTAGACGACAATTCCCCGGTGGACCAGCCAGCCCCCCAAGCTCAGCAAAACCCCCCATCCTTGCAAGCTGCTCTCAGTACTGGTTTTACCAGCATTGGCCAATGCCTGGAGCCAAGGTAGTCAGGGTGGGGGGAGGGGCAGGCAGGATAAGGGTATTAGTTCACCAGGGGCTAAAAATAGCCCCTACTCTTGGGGGCTGGGGGAAGAGACCTGCCACCCCCACAAACCCTCCTGCAGATGCTATGAGTCCTCATCCTGCCAACCCCCCCACCCCCTGCCTGTTTCCCTTGATCCCCCATAGGCACCAGTTGCCCCCCTTCCCTCCCACAGACTTCACCAATGCCTCCACCCCCTGCAATCCCCCCAGCAGACCCCTTGATTCCACCTGACCCACCCCATAGACTGCACCTGCCCCTCTCAATCCTCCCTGCTGGAACCTGCTCCCCCTCCCCTCCTGATTTCTGTTAGGTTGGGTGACCATCTGTAACTCCGTCTGACCTTCCCCTAACGTCTGTACATACCCATAATAGATCATTACAATTTGTTGGGGGGGGGTGTGTGAATAATAAGATCTTACAATAAACTAAGCTAATTCTGTAGCATTGAACCTTATGATTTCATGACTTATTACCAAATACATCTTAAGTAACTTTATTCACGAGAATAAAGTTTGGGGGCAGAAGCACGGGGTGCAGGCAGCACTTCAAGGAGAAGGTGGCTACCCCCAGGGCAGGATGCGGGCAACGCAGCTCCTCACTTGGGCTTTGGGGCATTACAGAGGCCAGGACCGTGGGGCTCACCCTGGCAGGCCAGGGCACCAGGTGGGCCCAGACCACGGAGAGAATAGCATTTGTCAAAGCCACAAAGTTTTTGTTAAAACAGCATTTTCAAAGATATGTAATGGTATTGTTTTGATATTACTGAAAGCTGCTCAAGATGAGGGAAATTTAATGTGCATGCAGAGCTAGGTAGAAAGCAGTATGTCTTGTTCTTGAGGATTGAAATGTACTATATATGGGCTTAAAGAGTTTTTGTAAATACAGATAGCCTATGTTAATTATTAATGTAATGTAACTGTGAACGTTAAAAATATATAGACCATTTTTGAAAATCTAACTAAAGCCCCATTACTTTCAGGGGACATACAAGGGATAAGGAAGCAAAAAGGAAACATGCTTATCAAAAAAACCCACAACTTTCCTAGGGAAAACAAGAAGAGCAGACCACAAAGGAAACTAAGGAACTCACTTAAGAGGGGATTCCTGCAAAACAAACATGAAAGTATATATTGAGAATTAAGAATGAGAGGTCTCCAGTATCCAATACTAAACTTATTCTACCATAATTAACAAGAGTTGGGAAAGTGATAGGTGCTGTGTCCTGAAAGATGGTGATCATTCTTTAATTCCTATGGGAATCAGTGGAATTGGAAGGTTTATAGTGCTTGGTAGGACTTGATCATTAATCTTGATGCAAGTTGATCATCTTAGTTCTGTTTCTTGAATGGAGAAAACCAGTTATGCTTTATTATATTAGAATGTGAGACAGCTTTTTTCTGGACATGTCTCCATAAGTGAACTTTGAGAAGAGGTGGGAATTTTTGTGCATTTAGAATACCTATATAAAACAGGAATGACAAGTCCTTAAATTAAATTAAGAAAAATAATTTTAATACAGCTAAGTATTTCATTATTGTTTGCAAGTAGCCAGCAAGATTCTAGGAGCACAGTCAGCACAACTGCAAGATATTCTAACTGAAATCTTATCTCTGCAGTGTATTCCTACTATTTTTAAGTTGTACCATTCCTGTTAATATTCAGTAAAAAACAAAACAAAACAAAAAAACCCCCCAAAAACCCAGAACCACCCAACAGCACACTCTAACTTAAGTTGTCTTAAAAACAAAATCTTAATGTACATAGGTATTTCCTTATAAGGGATGGTATTTCCATGCTTCACTTTCACAGTGGTAAGTCTTAAAAGAGTCTGGGATAAGGAAATTAGTTCCCATTACCATGCTCTTACAGTTAATAATTTAATTGCCCCAGCTAACAGATGGAACTGAATGCAGAAGACTGGCTATTTTCAGCACTTTGGACTTACCTGTTAGTGGGGGAAGGGGTGGGAGAGGTGCAGGGTCTTCTGGCAGTAGGAGCATGGGGTTCTGGGGGGAGGGGGGGCAGTGTAGTATCCAGTGGGAGCAGGAGTGGCAGCAGTACA